AAACTTCTTGTTTGAAAGTTGTGCTTCTTTGACCAATCGATTGTATCGCATGTTACAAAATAATGGAAATTATTTAAGATAATAAAAATATCTACGTTTTGTAGAGAATTTGACAAGGAATCTTTCTATAAAAAAACTTTTTTTTCTTAGCTGAATTATAGGTGAGAAATATGCAAGATACTGAGAAGGTCATTCATTATGGACCACCCGTTATTTTCCAGCTCATAGGTTCTATTTTTACGTCAAATGTTCGTGTAAATACATTGAAATCTAACTATAGTTCGTAGTTGATTACAGAAATTTAAAAAAAAAAAGATTTTTTTATTCTCTAGCCCAAAGGTTTAGTTTTCATCTCAAATGTTCGTGAAAATACATTTAAGTTTATCAATAGTTCGTAATTGAATAGGTAAAGTGAAAAAAATTATTTTCTAGCTCAAAGGTTTGTTTTTTGTATCTCGAGCGATCGTGAAAACTTATTAAGAGGATTCTATATTTCATGGATTTTTTTTCATATATAGTGGTTAAATTTTTATTTTTAATATTTCTAGAAAGATTTCGTAACAAGAATATCAAATAAGAAAGTTTAGCAAATCCTTAACATGACTAAATGAAACATTAATATTACATTATATAAGCCTTTTTTAAGTTCTATATTGTGATCATTGTAGTTTATCTGAACTGTAATTCATATAACTTACCAATTTCAATTAATAAATGGTTAGTTGAACATATGTCAGAATTTTATTTTATATTTCCCATAAAATTATTCAATGAAGGCGTTTTAATAGTTGATATTGATATGAGTAGTTATGTTAATGAAAGAAAATAGAAACGCGCCTTTTATCAGATTTATTGATTATTGATAATTAGAAGAAAATAGAATATTAAGAAATTTGACTTTCTTCAATTTTGTCGAAAAATGATTCAATATATATCATCTCTTATACGAGTATTAAATATAGCTAAAAAGCTAATTGTTTGAGATATTTTTAATAAACGAATTAAATGTTCAATACCTTGATCGTCTATTTTTGAATTATATGATAAACTAAGATATTTTAATTTTGATTTTGATAATATAATTCCATCAACAAGAATTTTAATACCAATTGATGTTAAGTCATAATCACGCAATATAATACTAATAGATTTTGTTGTTTGTTGAATAAATTCTTTTTTATGTAATGGATATAGTATAATAATCATTTAAATTAGTGGAAGATAAATCCATTATACCAAAACTATGTAATCGTTAATGCTTCGTATGATCTATTTTAAAATGATATATCTTTTTTATTTGTATCTTTTAATAAATGAAATTCTTGATTGATTATTGTATTTGTATAATTTTTTATTTGATTTATGTTATTCTTGTGATACTGAAAAAAAAAGCAACGGATACAAATGGGTAGATTTATTGAATGTATATCTTCAGATCATTGAAATCATTTATTTGTTCGAGTTTTTCTAAATTAATCAAAAATTAATTTTTTTAATTTTTTAATTTCTTAATAAAATGATATATTTCTTTGATAAAAGAAAAAGATAATATAAGTAATTGTTTATAAAGATTATTATCTTAAAAAAGACAATTATTCGAATTTTGAAAATAATAAAAATTGAAAACGTTTAATTATATTCTATTATCTTATTTTCTCTATATGAATAAAATAATTTATGTCCTACAATAATCGATTAAATATTCTTGCAAACAAAAAAGAAAATATTTACTTAATTTTACCCTAAATTGTGATAGATATTGTATGATTTCGTGAACATTGTTATCTTGTTCGGTATTTGATGGTTTCGATATGTACAGTTATTCTCCTTATATGAACTTTTTTTGAGTGATCTTGAAATTTGAAAATTTTCAGACTTTTCTTTAATAGCTTTTGGTAGTGATAGTGGAATTTATCTTGTTCTCTTTAATAAACTATAAATAAATGCGAAAACCTCGGATTTAAATCCGAGTGTTATGTGTACTTCAAAAAGTGAACAGGTATATTCACTTTCTTTTTTATCAACTGAGACATATCTAGGTAATTTGCTTTCTGTATGCAGTTTTTGTGCATATTGAGACATTTTTCAGACGATGTTTTGTTAGAAAGCTACGATTTAGTTCAAAACTAATATCAGATTCGGAATCAGCGTTAAAAACTGAGTCGATTTATATATTTTGTGAAGAATTCTGAGAAAAATATTTTTTTTGAAAAAATCCCTGTACCCCCCCCCCCTCTCAGGGATGGTCTTCTCAATAATGATAATTTTTTCAATAACTCACCCATTTCTTGACGGATCCTTCTCATCTTCGAACTCGACCGAGACATTGTTAAGACTGAACTGTGTAGAAAATTTCATCGCGATCTGACTCTCCTTTCAAAAGTTATCGTGTAAACGGCCGGATGGACGGCCGGACGGCCGGACACACTGACCGACTCTAGAGTGTACTCACTTTTTGAGTACACAAAACCAAAAAAAAATAAGGATTTGTGTTTGTGTCTTCTATTTAATCGATAAATATAACTAAAACTGATAAATATCAACTCTAAACAATTGATTTCGAAATGCATTCGTAATCATCCAATATGTATAACAGTTTTTTTCTAACAGTTGATGTGATTTTTTTCCATATATTTATTATAAAAGGTTAATTATAAAATTTTGTTTTTTCCAAATGAAATACATAAAAATATGTACAAGAGTAAATCAGTGAATATAGATATTCTAAATAACTCTATTTAATCATAACTAAATGCTACATAACTAAATGTTATTTCTTTTGTGAATAATAATATTAAATAACTTTCTAATTAAGTTAAATTTGAAAATGATTATTTATACTATCTCCATTCTATTAAAATATTAAACAAAAAATATAATTTATAGTTATGATTAGAAACGGATTTTATTAAAAGAAAAAAGAATATATATATTTATTTATTAAATCTTAAATTTTGACATCATTCAAAAAAGGAAATTACTAAATATTTTATATAATATAGTAAGACGTAATTAATTTACAGTCTTTGATCACATATTGAGAATGACTTCGATATATGATCATTGAGATAGTTAGTCAAAAGTTTAAGTACATCGTATCCCAAAAGTCGCGTCCCAAAAGTTTTGTTGTATGTCTTTGCCATTCCATTCAACTTTATAGACATTTTTTTTAAAATTAAAGGTAAAGGTATCGAGTTTTTGTTTATCTGTACCATCTTCCATACTAACTTACAAAAGTGTCACTTTTGATCGAAATGCAAAAATTTTGCTTTCTTTCTGAAATGCTAGGAATTGGAAAATCAACTAAGTTTTTTTCTTTGATATTTTCAAACGCATGGATAGATCGTGTCGAGTTCTACAAAAATATGTATATTGAAAGATTTTTAAACCTTTTCTTTGATGTGGAATTTATATAAAATACCTCAGGACCTCGAAATAACTAAAGAAAAAAAAAGATGCAGAATAGTTTTCTGGATATACAACGAAAGCAAAATTTTTGTATTTCGATGAAAAATGACACTTTTGCAAGTTAGTATGAAAGATGGGTCAGATAAATAAAAACCCGATACTTTTACCTTGAATTTAAAAAAAAAATTTGTCGATAAAGTTAAATGTAATAGCAAAGATATACAACAAAACTTTTGGGACGCAACTTTTGGGACACACTGTATATACTCTTATGAATTACTTTTACAATTTTTTTATAATACAACTGAACTTTTACTTATAATTTAAGTTCATAATAGAGTGATTTATACTTGTTATATTATGTTATAATATCAATTATGTTTAAAAATAAAAAAAAATTAAACAAAAGTGAAAAAGAAGTTGAAAAGCATTAAATGTACAACTTATGATTAAAAAATTGATCTATTGCGGAAATTTTTATCAATCTGAACATTTCAAATAAATTTTCTAATCTTCTGAACTTCTCTCATTCGTTCATACTAATTAAAAGATATAAGAAACTGATTAATATGAATTATTTTAATAGTTAACACAATTCATATATATATATGTATGCATCTATGTATGTATAGTGATAATAATCAACAATGATTTATTCTTATAACACGAGATATTGGAAGAATCTTTTGAATACTAAATTACGTTAATCATCTACAGGAAATATTTTTTTGTATTGATTTTCGTCGAAAGCTTCATAAATTGCAAATAAAATCAAATTTTAAAAATACAAATTTATATGTTTGTTTGACAGATTACTTTTATGAGAGCATTTCTTTTTAACTTGAAAGCATGTTCATAAAATGATTTAATCGAAACAGATCCAATCGAAACCACGATTTATTCTGTATATTAAATCTGGACAAAGGAAATAATAATACGATCGATTATATATACATATGTATAGCGACAAGTAATTAATTAGAAACCGTCAATATTATTTGTATAACGAAGGCCTCTTTTAGATTAATCACTCAATTATCAGCATATAAGTATATCCTAAACATTTTTGTGATTTAAATTATCCGCTTGTGATGATCCAGTGATAAACGAGTATAAATATTTAATCAAAAAAAAAATTTATACATAAGCAATGAACTACTACAAAATACCGAACATACTATTTTAATGATGACAATATTGTAATCAATTGATTCAGCAATCAATCCATTTACAATAAATTCTCTTATCCTACGTAAATCATATATCATCTATAATCAGGTAAAAGGAGCAAGGGGGGGGGGAGATGGGCGCTAAACGAAAACAAAAGGCGCACACAATTNTGCAACGGCAACACCATCGTCATGAGAAGCAGGACCGTAAAATGTTTTCAAACATAATGTTCAATGAAAGCCATGTGTGCTGAATCTATCTGAACACTCATTATATTACAGAGATTAGCGCATCCATTTCTTTCGAATTTACGAAATCGACATAAAACTCTTTTTCTTTTTTTTTCCATTGTCTGGGTATTAAGCATCAAAGGTGGGGCGTGGGTGTAGTTCTAAATTTAAAAGCCACTCATACCTACACCAACACTCACACCCACACCCACCCCAATCGAGATAAACGTTATGTTCCTTATATTTTTATTCTATTTTTTATTGTGAAGTTACATATCAACAAATTGAGGTCTGTTATTCAATCTGAGCACTTCTATCTTTTATCCATTTAACCAACAAAGACGACAATATGAAGGATGATTGGAAGAATAAATTTTATTCTATATGTTGCTGCTACTTTTTTTTAATAACCTCTTTTGTTTTAACTATCTAAAATGTATTTCAATAGTCAATGTCAGTTTCTCTTTCCACCAGTCAAGCCAAAATACTACACTGAGATAAATAAGTTGTCTTTTCTCAGATTAACTTTATTCGAGAACAGTTGTAGAATCCAGAAAATAATCAATTTAATGATCCAACGAATATATATAATCTTCTCCGCGTTGTGAATCAAATGCAATTGTACAGTAAAATCAAGTATACAAGATATAATAGTTGTTTTTCTTTAGTGATTTCAAATATCGATCCGACTTTTGCTATCTTCTAGTTTCGACGCAAAGATTCAATCAGTTTATTCCGTTAACTATAATTTCAATATGATTCGAACTGTTTGTGGACAAATATGATGTTCATACAATATTGTGGAGATATCTAGTATAATGTTTTCGAATTCTAAAAATCAACATTTGTTTTGTTGTATAGTTTGGAGTATGTGTATTCTTCTCGTTCTACACCCACCTCTTATTAGATATATCCATGCCATCGATAGATCTCGACAAATTGACTTCAGATCGAAACCGAGTCGAGTCGTGATTTTTTCGACTTGTTCGAGTCTCTGATAAAAAGCATATCAATTTTATAGAATATGATGAATGAGTGATAGAAAATAGAAACATCTATATTTATTTGAATCTAATCATTCTGTTTATTGTTGAATCGTCATCATTTAGAATAGAACCACAATATCAGTAACTATTAATAATATGTCAAGACTAAATAATGCAAACAAAGATGAGAGCTTTCTCTCTTGAAAGAATTCCTGGCGATTCTACTAGATTTTTAGTGAGAGCTATTTAGCTTGATTTTACCTAGTCGTTTATACAACCGAGAAAAAATAAAAGATTCAGTGTGAATTCATCTTCTCTGTTTACGCACGTCTAGATGAAATCAACTTCAACAAGTCTCAATAATAAACTCGTAGAATCGCCAGGAATTTTTTTCGGTATGTTTCTAGTAATTATTAACAAGAAATTTTTTTATAATCATGAAAAAAAAGATCTTTGAGAGGGAAAACGTGGATTGAACATAATACAGTATTTAGAAAAAAAATAGAAAAAAAAATAACAAAAAGAAAAAAAGAAGAAAAATCTTTAAATAGCAGAATTTTTCTGCTAAAAGAAGAAGAGGTCGGCGCTTTGATTGATGTGGTTGACGGCCTTTTATGTTATTTTCTTGACGATATTTTGCTCGACGATTAGAAAACCATATCTTATTTTGAAAAAGAAATAAATGAGAGAAAAATTAATTTCTTCTTAAGAAAAAAAAAACACATTTATACTTGAATTCTTGCTTCAGGTAAATTTATTTTTTGTGCAAGTTTTTCACGTGTATATACATCTGGATAATGTGTACTTTTAAAAGCTAAATAAAATATTTTATTTAATACACAAAAAAAAATAAATAAAAGTAAAATACCTTTTTCTAAAGCATCAGTTTGTTCTTGTGTAAATTTCGTTATAACTGAATGAAAAAAAAAATGTTATCAATCATGTGGAAAAATATGAATTAGAATATCTGTAAAATAAGTTTATCTGTTCTTTTCTTTCTAATTAGTCGAAAATCATTCTGTTGTTATTGTGATGATATTTAATCTGTAGTATATGGAATAGTTAATTCAGTAGTGAAGTTCAGGGTGGAGTGTGGATGTGGGTGTGGGTATTTTTTCCAAAACTACAACTGCAACTACACTCACACTCCACACCCACACCCCACACCCACCCTATCAGAATTATTTCTATACATTTATTTTATTCATTAGAACAAGTTGGGTCCACTTTAATTGAAAATCTTGATTTCGTTATTGAGTTATTCATAATCAGTTGATAATACATATATAAAATATTTGTTACCTCCTAAATCCTGACGATGTTCAAAATCTGAGTTTGAATCTTCACTTATTGAATAAATATTTGATGCCATTTTTGTATCTATTGATTTAGACTCAAGATTTTGTAAAACTCGATTTATTGATGATACCTGTAAAAAAGACATGAGTTTAGGCGTTTTCTTCAAAATAATTTCTTAAATTACATACACTTGGAATGTTTTCGGAATTACAAATATTTTCTTCTAAAAGACGATCACGAATTTCCCATGTAAATATGGATGGTGTTTCATGTTTATATTGAGCTATTTTTTCTGTCACATCAGCTTCTACTATACGAGGTTTTATTGAACCTGTTTCATAATAACTTGCTAAAATGTTTGATACACAATGATTTGATACGTGCAAACATTGACTTATATCAGATGAAAGCATGCCATTGTGTGCTAGTTCAACTATAAGTGTTCGTGTACTATCTGGTAATGGTGAACCATTCACAAATAAACCTTCAAGTTGATTAACTCCTGAATGTCCTAGGTAAAATCAAAAGAAAAATTTCAAAGAATAATAATATCATTGCAAATTCCTGATTAGCAGAAAAAAAGAACGGTAACAACACTTGAAATTTATCGTATAAAAAATGTAATCATCGGTGGTGATTGATCATTTTCTAATTTCTTATCAAAACAACAACAATTAATACGTTCTTCTACATATTTCTTCATAGAAACAGTAACATTACGGATATTTGAATTTCAATTTTTTTTAATACATGTGTTTGATCTAGTATTTAAAAGTAAGGATCACTCACCTTGGTGTGATTGTGATATATCATTATGAATATCCATTGTATAGATAAACTAGAATAAGAAAAATAAAAAAGCAATATCAAAAACTACTTATATGTCGTGGATAAAATTGAAATTTCAGTTTTGCCAAGGCAAAATTAGAATTCGAGTAGAGATAAATTCATGCAATGAAAAACAATTAAAATCTGAATAGAACAGTTGTTTATTCATGAATACAGTAATGACCTGTTATCTAATAACGCAAACTTTCTAGCCTGAATAAAAAAAGGATATTTTTGAAAAATAACGATATTTTCTAAAGTTTTAGTCATAAGTTTTTCGGAGTTGAGGAATCGAATCTATTAGTGACTTCTAGAAATTTTCGAATCCTGCTGTTTTTTACTAGGCGTAAAAAAAGTTCACTGTTTTCAAAAAATATCCTTCTCCTAACGAAAACATAAAACTCACAAGTTTTGAGAAACCATTTATAGATTTCGCTTTCTCTACTTCGGAAATCTTTGATCAAAGCCTTCGAAAATATCGTCATTTTTCAAAAATATCTTTTCCTTTTTCAACTCAGAAATTTGACGTTGGAAGAACTAATAACTTATGGTTTACTAGCTACATGATAACATAACCGAAACGACAAATGGAAATGAATGCCTGTCTGTGCCAAGTGACATGACCTTTATTGGGCTACGTCACCATTCGAATTACATGTTCTCTCTTCTTACATGCGTATTATATAGGCGCAGACAGAGGTCAAGCGGTCACACATGGAAAATGTGAATAGAGACAGAAGGTCAGTGCTAGGTGAATAGGTCACAATACATAGAGGATATAATATAGGACAAGTGAGCATAATGATCAATGACCGTTATTATTTGTTTTGATTGCATGAATTTATCTCTAATCGAATTCTATTTTTGCCTATAACATATGCGTATTCGTCAAGGGAGAAATAACTGACTTTTATGACTGTCAAGTCATTTAGATCACGAAAGTCATTCAAGGTCATCAATAACTCAGAATATTTCAAAGAGGATTTTAGTCCATATTCATCTAGAATCCGTTCACATGTTAACATCAATATACTATTCCACAGTTGTAAAGATTTATGTTAGTAAATAATCGATCTGGTTTATTTTCATTTTAATTCAGTTTTTTTAAGTGTTCCATACCGTCTGTCTTGATATGGGAAAGCAGTTTTTCTCTTGATTTTGTACTCGATATACCATTTGTATAAGGTAAAACTTTTATAGGCATTCTACATCATTCACATGGAATATCCGAGTAAAAGGAAATGTAGTAGGATAAAGTCTTCAGAGAAACATGTTCAGTGGTTTTATTTGTCGAATACAAAACAAAAACAAAAGAATGTTATATTTCCTGCGAATAATTGTATTCCGATGAGAGAGAATTTTTGTTAGAAAATATCAAAGTTTACTTCAATTAGAATAATGGATATAACTGAGTCGAAAAAACAATGAAAGTGAATATAAACAAGTTTTGAACAGTGGATTTTATTAACGTAAGTTCTATGCCAGTAGTACACAGTCGACGATAGTCAAGACTTTATCGATTATTCAGAAAGATTTGTCATTTTTCTATTGATATTATTTTCTATCAATAAAAACTTCAAACCAGTTTGTAACATTTTATTAGGAATAATTTTCGAAAGCATCCTCAAAAATATCTTGTAAACGTTATTTTAGACTCGACGTACACTTTCATTTTCCTTGACAATTTTCACTTATGTTTTTGCATAGGAAAAATTATCTTTAAAGGTATTTTATTCATTTCTATTACATATTTTTCTGTATCACATAAAAGCGTGGATTCAGCGTTTATTAGGGCCGTATATTAGATGTATATACTTCATTTTCACAGGGGAATCTTCTAAATCACTGAGCTGAATTCTAATGACAACTCTTATTCGAACCGGCAATTAGTTTTGAGTTCGGATGCAATTAATTTTTTTTTGAAAATCAAGAATATTTTATTTTAGGAAAATATAGACAGAGCAACTTTCGCATTGAAACATATCCGATTAGTGTAAAATATTACTCATTTTGTCTCATTGTTAGTTGAAATATTAGATGATAACGATATTTCTACATTTTCGATGAGAATTTGAGCAAAAACGAATTACTTATTTTAAAATGATTGACAAAGAAAACTAAAAAGAGTCTTTCTACAGAGTGAGCAAAGCTCATTGTTTTAGAAAAAAGATCTTTAGTTTTCGGCGAAAATAAAAGTCAATAAGAAGAGGATTTTTCTAGTAGTTTGTTTTTTAAATTACTTTTTTCATTCATACAACATGAAGGTAAAGAGAAAAAAGTCGCGAAATGAGATTCTTCCACAGAAAAACGATAATGTGCCCGTAATTCAGTATTTTGAGTAAGTTTGTGTGAAAGAAAAAGATACAATGGATATATCATTAAATAGGTCATGGCGATTTCTACAAAACTGACTATTCATTATATATTTATCTTTCATACTTAGAAAATCTTCTTTTCTTGGTGCATCTCAATGTCATTAGTTGGTTGTATAGATGGTATACCTTAAGGACTATAAGAGCCAGAGAACTTCAATATTGTATGACAGTGAAATTTTTAAATATCAGGTACATATAAAACAATTGGTCTAAATCGATGCAGCAGAACAAATGTTATTAGCGAAATACAGTTAAACTTTATCGTATCAAAAAGTTGTAAATCTCTCAAATATATTTTTTTCGAGAAAGAAATGCAATTTTTATGATTGGATGCCCATTATAGATGATCAGTTAATCTTTCGACGACATGTCTCGATGAAAAGTCTGTCATATCATCACCACGTACATAGAGAGTTGTTTCGTATTTCGCTAAATGTACAATACATACAATAAAGTTTGATAGATCTGTACCAGTTATACAATAAACTTCATCTTCATACCTTTTAACATTAAGCATACGTGTTACTGTTCCACGAATATTTTAATTTTCGAATACTTCTACTGTCATGTATACCAACAATAACTTGACGATCATAAGATTTCATACGTTGAACGGTGTAGATGTTGGTGTGAGGTGTAAGTGTGTGGGTGGAAGTGGAGTGGCTATTTTTGGGTGTGGGTGTGCGTGAGTGGCTGCGGCTGTGGATGTGTGTGATGATAAGATATCTACTCCCACACTCACATCCGGACCTGCATCCGCACCCATATCCAAAGAGTTTGAATAGAAAACAAAACCAAGCTCACATCTACTTTAAGTGTGAATATATGAGATGAGATTCTCTAATGAATTATATTTAGGCATGTATCGAACTTTAGCGATAGACCTTTTACCAAAGTCTAGTAGCTCTGCTCGTTACACGCGTAGTGGTATCCATGTCTATATCCTTCGGTCTTTTCTCATCGATAATGTCTACAGAGTTCAAAAAATGAAGTTGAAATATGGATAACGCTTCTTGTTTCCACAACTTCTCAATGAAGAAGATGTCAGATAAATAGCTTTCTATATGTTTTTATTCGGACAACAATTTGTAATACACTGATAACGCTTTTGTTTTTTCAACAATAAATGTTCTTATCTACCTGTAAAATAATATTTCGTGTTACTAGAGTGTAATTCCTTCGCAGATTTTATTCTCTTCTATGATTCGAACTACTTGAAATGATTTGGTGTAGACAACATGTACATTCGATACCTTTAATGATAATCATAATGGATATTCTTAATTTGGTCAAATATTATGCTGTATTTGGAGTTACAACAAATGACACACAGACTAATCCGAATAAAACTGGATATTTCTTTATGGCTCTTCTTGGAATAAATGCATGTATGATATTGCGTTCATTTTGCTTGAATCCAATTATGCAACTTGTCTTTTCTTTGATTGGTGAATTTGTAGAAGTTCTACTGTTCATCATCATTTTTCAACATACAAAGTTACTGCTTGGTATTCTGTTGCCAATGTTTGGCATTGAAATATTTCTTCATTGTTTTAGTATTTATCACCGACTACATGAGAGTGATGATGATGATGTAGAGCGTTCTGTTTGAGTACAGCTATGGTTATGGAAATTAATCGGCACAATTAGCTTACCTTTTCCATATAATTATTTGTAAGAAACCTCAAGTTTTTGTCATCCTGCTATGTCACTAGTCAATATTTTTTCACTTTTCATAATTAGTAATGTTCGTATGACAATCAACGATCAGAAACTACAAGAGTCCATAATCACAAGAATTTGGGAAACTGTGACCGTCCTATTAGTATTTATCATGTGTTTCGGTTCAGAGATCATTTATATTGCCTTCGCTTTTCGTGAAATAAAACTGGATATTACTAGTCGCGAAAAAGTAATATACGTTTACATTTTATCATCACAATTCATTGGTATTGCATACATCCGAAGTTATAAAAGTAGAAGGAGCAGACTTAAAAGGGTTCGTCCCAACTTAAACTCACCATTTTAGTTTATTTTTAAAGCTTCAATAATAAATGTAACAGTTTATTGCTTTTTGATATCTATACATAATAAATACTTTTCAATGATTTTCCTCTATGACTGACATGGGTGTGGGTGTGGGCGTGCGTGTGAGTATGGGTGTTGGTTGATGATGAGTGATCCTTTAGCAACACCCACACCCCTTTTCGAATTTTGCACCTAGATGAAAATGGATTCTCTCTACCAGTGATACAGATATTGATAGAGAATTGAATTCTCTACAAGATGAACTAGAGCTGATCTCGGGACAATGGATAGTATCTTTTCAAAAAAATTATTTTTTTCAATTTTTATGCTTTTTTGGGGTGACGGATCTTATTTTTTGGAATTTTTCACCCACATGAAAAGGGATTCTCTGTATAAGAGATAGAGACATTGATAGAGAATTCAATTCTCTGCAAGCTGGGCAAGAGCTGATATCCGGGCAATGGATAGTTTTTTTGAAAAAAAGGGGAGGATATCAGAAGCATTTCGAAATCGTTTCTGTCAGCTCAATAAGATGGATCTATGGGTAGATATGCTGGGTCTTTCCTGTGATTAATCAGTGGAAGTTTGTTGGGATGGTATGTTTATGAGGAATTTAAAAAAATCGGTAGTTTTCATAAAATTGTGTTAAAGTGTTTTGGGTTGCTAGGGAAGATTTGTATGGTTTTTTATGGATTGTTCATGGTAAATTATGCTCGAGTGCTGATTGGTCGGTAGGTAGGTTATTTCTGATTGGTCTTCGTGGTAGCTTCACATCGATAAATTTTGCTTTCTTTGTGAAATGCTAGGAATTGGAAAATCAACTAAGTTTTTTTCTTTGATATTTTCAAATGGATGGATAGATCGTGTCGAGTTCTGCAAAAATATGTGTATTGAAAGATTTTTAAACCTTTTCTTTGATGCGGAATTTATAGAAAATACTTCAGGACGTCGAAATAACTAAAGAAAAAAAAGATGCAGAATATTTTTCTGGATATACAAAGAAAGCAAAATTTTTGTTGTATCGATCAAAAGTGACACTTTTGCAAGTTAGTATGGAAGGTGGCTCAGATAAATAAAAACTCGATACCTTTGCCTTTAGTTTAAAAGAAATTTGTCAATAAAGTTAAATGAAATAGCAAAGACATACAACAAAACTTTTGGGAAGCGACTTTTGGGACACACTGTATATATACTCTTATGAATTACTTTTACAATTTTTTTATAATAAAACTGAATTTTTATTTATAATTTAAGTTCATAATAGAGTGATTTATACTTGTTATATTATGTTATAATATCAATTATGTTTAAAAATAAAAAATAAAATAAAATAAAAGTGAAAAAGATGTTGAAAGATATTAAATGTAGAACTTATGATTAAAAAATTGATCTATTGTGAAAATTTTTATCAATCTGAAAATTTCAACTAAATTTTCTAATCTTCTGAACTTCTCTCATTCGTTTATACTAATTAAAAGATATAAGAAACTGATTAATATGAATTATTTTAATAATTAACACAATTCATATATATATATATATGCATCTATGTATGTATAGTGATAATAATCAACAATGACTTGTTCTTATAACACGAGATATTGGAAGAATCTTTTGAATACTAAACTGCGTTAATCATCTACAGGAAATATTTTTTGTATTGATTTTCGTCGAAAGCTTCATAAATTGCAAATAAAATCAAATTTTAAAAATACGAATTAATATGTTTGTTTGACAGATTACTTAGATGACAGCATTTCTTTTTAATTTGAAAGCATGCTCATTAAATGATATAATCAAAACGGATCCAATCGAAACCACGATTTATTCTGTATATTAAATCCGGATAAAGGAAATAATAATACGATCGATTATATATATATATGTATAGCGACAAGTAATCAATTAGAAACCGTCAATATTATTTGTATAATGAAGGCCTTTTTTAGATTAATCAGTCAATTATCAGCGTATAAGTATATCCTAAGCATTTTTTGTGTTTTAAATTATCCGCTTGTGGTGATCCAGTAATAAACGAGTATAAATGTTTAATGAAAAAAAAATTTTTATACATAAGCAATGAACTACTACAAAATACCGAACACATTATTTTAATGATGACAATATTGTAATCAATTGATTCATCAATCAATCCATTTATAATGAATTGTCTTATCCTATGTAAATCATATATCCTCTATAATCAGGAGCGAGAAATGGGCACTAAAAGAAAAAAAAGTAACAAATTCGATAAGTATCCGATATAATTGCCCTTTATGACTCGTTCATGCAAGTAAAAGGAGTAAGGGGTGTGAGATGGGCGCTAAACGAAAAAAAAACAAGTTGAACAAAATTATTTTCTTTTAAAATTGCATCTAAGCAAAGCGCGCCTTCTAGATTGTTTACGCCAGTAAATCCCACGGCAGTAAATCCTGTATACGTTTTCATACATACTCAGACATTCGACAGAGTATTCTTTTTTTTCCTCATAGAAAATCAGTTAGTATGTAAGCAAACGAATAGTCGACTGGTAACACTCAAGGATTATTTTATTGCTTTTACGCAACTAGATAAGAGAGAAAGAATGAAATAATGAGGTCTAAATATTGTTAACAAAAGAAGACGAACCAGGTAGTACATCTGTTGACGACATTATTCATGTAACAATATCTTTGTTGATAAAGAAATTTTATTCGAATATATTTATGACATAAGAATTTAACGTCGAAGTATTAAAGCAAAAGTTATGATTAAATCAAACATGAAACTGATTAGATAAGCCGCCAAGAATTCCTTAAAAGTTCGTCGAACTCTATTGACTTCTAGAGCCTGTAAAGTCTTGAAATCTTAGGTAGTCCGATGTTAGTCACTTGTCTCATATTCATTATTATTCGAGCGTGTCAATAAAGGTTTGATTCTTTTTCATTTTCTTGCATCTTATCCAATCAGTTTCATGTTTGATTTAATCATAACTTTTGCTTTAATACTTCGACGTTAAATTCTTATGTCATAAATATATTCGAATAAAATTTCTTTATCAACAAAGATATTGTTACATGAATAATGTCGTCAACAGATGTACTACCNTAAATAAAAACTCGATACTTTTACCTTTAATTTAAAAAAAAATGTCTATCAAGTTAAATGAAATGGCAAAGATATACAACAAAACTTTTGGGACACACTATATATACTCTTATGAATTACTTTTACAATTTTTTTACACTAAAACTGAATTTTTATTTATAATTTAAGTTCATAATAGAGTGATTCATACTTGTTATATTATGTTATAATATCAATTATGTTTAAAAATTAAAAAAAATAAAATAAAAGTGAAAAAGATGTTGAAAGGTATTAAATGTACAACTTATGATTAAAAAATTGATCTATTGCGAAAATTTTTATCAATCTGAAAATTTCAAATAAATTTTTTAATCTTCTGAACTTCTCTCATTGGCTTATACTAATTAAAAGATATAAAAAACTGATTAATATGAATTATTGTAATAATTAACACAATTCATATATATATATGTATCTATGTATGTATAGTAATAATAATCAACAATGATTT